TGGATCATCTCGTTGGATTCGAGATCACCATTGGTAGTATGAGGAGTAGTTGTAACCATGGGAGTAGGATTTTTCCCTTTATAATCGGAGGAGGAAGCTGTAGGAATTAGAGAATTAGAGAGTATTACAAAGTATAAGGGAGAATAAGAGAGTATAATATTGTATTAGAGAGAATAAGAAAGTATTAGAGAGAAGTAGATGAGTATTTTGCCCGGGTCATGCCGGGCCTGGTTGACCTTCGCTGAACCAACCTGGACTAAGGACTAGAGCCTAGTCTAGCCCGCTTTTCCTGACTTGTCCCGAGTCCTGACCACTGTCCTAAATGGACACCCTAGGTTTCATTTGGAGTGTGGAACGCCACAGAGTATCCAGTTCTGTTTAGCGTTGTTGAGAGTTTTGTGTTATATGAAAAGGATTCTATAAATAGAGTTTTTTTTCCATAAAAAGTGTTAAAATCAATGGAGAAAACAAAGGTGGAATGTGAGGTTGTTGATAAAGAATGCGTGAAGAACGAGTAGTGGGGCTGTTGGACAACCAGAAGCCCAAATAGGAGCCCATGGTGAGTCATTAACTTGATTGCAAAAAAAAAAAGTTCGTCTCTCCTTGTCCTGAAAGATTTTTAAAACATAATATGTTTTTTTCCAGATATCTTGATGAGAGAGAATCATCTAGACCTGTCAAAAGCGTGGTAAGCTATGTCAAAATTGCGAAATTCCGTTAATAGTTTCTCATCATTCAGCGGATCCAGGAATGATATTCATTATTACAAAATGTATACAAAATCTTTTAATAATGGGACCTACTAGAATCAATATATGATTCTACTTGTAGGGGTTCTCTACAATCAAGGATGTAGAGAATCCTAACTCCTATTTTGGAGTCGGTTGCATTTTCTATTTATGCATCACATTATAAATTCTAGAGGTGTTATTTACACCAATAATACCATTTTCATATTTCTTCGTGGATTCGAAGATCCGCTATAGAAATTCGAGATTATACTTCTCTACTACAACAATGAACGATTTTGAGCCCCCGTTCAAACTTCTAGCAGTCCAACCACTATATGCACTCATCCCCCATGCATTATTAGGGGTGCACAAAAATATCTGTATCCAAGGAAATATCCTTATTCGTATCTTACCATATCCGTATTTGAGGAAATATCCTATTTGTATCTTACTAAAATCGTAGGACATGGTTACGGATAGAGTTATGCAATGAAATATCTTGATCCATATCGCATTCAAATATATATTCGTCATACTGTTGCAATAATTATGATCCTTAGGTTAATGGATTTGAAGATAAATTTGATGATCAAAATATCTGATCTTAGCTTTTCAGATATAACAAACATATTAATGAACTCTTTTGTGTCATATGAACCGTTTTTTCCAATATTACCTAGTTTTTTCATATCCATTTTGTATCCGTATATATATTCGCTTATATATTTGCATGCATATCCATATCTGCATCAGGTTTTAACAAATATGGATATGAACTTTTCTTACCAATGCATATCTGTGATGGTATTTACATGCATGCATGATTGGTAAGTAGATATGAATATGGGAAATATCATATCCAAGCTATATATATCCAGACCATATGCACCCCTATGCATTATACATTAGGAAATGAAGTTGTTAGAAATTCAAATTTGATTTTATTTTACTAGTTTAGATAACATATTTTATCAGATCACGTGATCCACGTTCTCTAGGATAAATTCACTTTTTATTTTGAATTGTTGTAGGATCAGATTATACTTTAGTTCTTAGCTTCTGGTTCAAAATTTTGAAGCATATAGTAGAGAAAACATTAATCTAAACCCTATATAAAGAGTTTTGAATTTTCATTGTAAGGAAGAAGAAATTTTTTGAGAAATAAAGTTTGAGAAGTTAAATGAGATTTTTTTTTATTCTAGTGAATGTGTGATTTTCTGTAGTCTGAAGTCAAAAGGTTACGCGTCTATATGTGATTCCAGCTTAAGTAACAAGATATCGTTGTGCGTTCAAGTTTCAACCCATAAACAGGGCTCTCCTCCCGAGTGGTGGAGTGCATGTTAGAGTATAGTACCCTAATCTCAATCCTCATCATAAGTTCAATGCATGTTAGAGTATAACACACTAACTCTCAATCCTCATTGCCAGTTTAAAGTCTTGATACAGCAGGAGGGGCCTTTAACGTGTGTAAACTTCTTGTTCACGTGATGTGTGTATTCGGAGAATTTTTTTAAAAAAGATCATTTTAAAAAATAATTAGTAAGAACGATCTTTTTGCTAAATAATTAGCAAAATCGACCTCTTTTTGGCTAGCTCACCAAAGCTGGCAAAAAAGAAGTCGATTTTGTAAAAATTAATCTTGAAGACACATGGGACTACTAGTCTCATGTGTTTAGCGTTTGCTAATCACCTCCTAAATACTACCCAAAAAACATACGGGACTAGTAGTCTCGTGTGTTTTTTGCACAGAACCGGATTATCGAATCTCTCCCCTCTCTCCGTCAACCTCAACCTCTTGACGGCCTCCACATTATTGAAGCATGATATATACTCCCTCATCCCCTCGTCACAAACCCTAAACTTCCCAACCCTAACCCTAAGCCTGGCACCCCACCTCTCTCCTCACTTGTCTCATTACTCCCGCCACCACTACCATCGTCACCGTTGTCGTTATCCTCCAGATCCGAATCAAACTCTCCTACATCGAAGTCCATCCTCATTGTCTCATTCTCGCCGATGACTCCATATCTCGCCAACAGCAGCGGTGGAGGAGATGAAGGCGGTGACGAAGTGATCAGATAGGAGATGTTGAATGTGAGGTTGGCATTGGGGGAGATCGCAATGGTGCAGCCTCCGGATGTGGTGGAGTCGGCAGAGTTGGAGTTGGCATTGAAGAAGATGAGCTGAGGGTAGCTGGCATCGGACCAGTGTGTGCGAGAGGAGAGTGAGGAGAACGAGTAGTAATACTTAGCCCAATGGGCTTTACCTTGGTCACGTGAGTTTAATCAGTGTAGGACTTGGTGGATTAGCCAATTTAAAACACACGAGACTAGTAGTCCCGTGTGTTTTCAACACTAAATTTTTTAAAATCGACCTCTTTTTTTGCCAGCCTCAGTGAGCTAGCCAAAAAAAGATCGATTTTGCTAATTATATAGCAAAAAGGTCCTTTCCGCTAATTATTTTTTAAAAATGGTCTTTTAAAAAAATTCCTCGTGTGTATTCTAACCATTCCCCTTCCATGTATAGATGAATAGATAGATACATCTTAACATATTTAATATATTGAAGTATATCAAATGCCTCTCCGCTGTCATATTCTTATGGATAGTACTTTTAGATAGGTGGATATAAGATACGTGTACTTTTCAGGAAATTAAATCAAGTGGGAAAATGAAGATTAAGATTAGTCATAAACCTGCTGGCTTTGAGAAGCAATGCCACTGATCTCCAATAAAGTGTGAGTTCCTAGTGACGGAGACCAATGAGGGAACATTTGCTTATTCACATGGGCCGGGTTCACTGGCTTTAATCATTTCATAAATACATTGATAGAAGTGACAACACGGAAGTTGAGTCTATTTAATTTTATCAAGTTGTGCGGACATGAAGATAGTTCACAAATTCTTATGTTGGTTTCTTTTGACAAACTTGTTTAGGTCGTGATTAACGTTTGTTTGCCAGGCATAGCGGATCATATAAGCTCAGTCATTCGTTTCTTGACGTTGTATACAATCCTTCATAATAAAAAAAAGGACGAAAACCCAGCTATATATATCCTCGAGGAGGAAGAAAGAGAAAATTTTTAAATTCTATTCATTTATAGCTATATATCCTCAAGGCGGAAGAAAGAGAAAATTTTTAAATTCTATTTATTTATTAGAAATTATATTCATGTCCCTACAATCTAGATGAGCATATTTTGGGTCCCTAACTTCCGTTACTAATTTACAAATCAGTATGCTTTTTAGTATTAATTATATTCCAATTCCCTGAGGTATGACACAATTACATATGTGAAAATAGAATTTGTGTATTTACACGCGCAATCTGAAAATTATTGGTTATAATACACGCATGACCCTAGAAATTGTCGGCATGCTTAGTATTGTTTTTTTTTTGATGGTTTGAAGTTCACTAGCTATTAGCATTGGAGGTAGGATTGTGATTTTGGTTATGATTAGGATTAGAGTTGCAGTTATGATTAGTGTTAAAACAGTGGTTATTTACTAAAGTTTAATTGCTATAACCCTAATCCTAATTCTAATTGTCATCAATGTTTGCTATAATCCTGACCATAACCCTAATTCTAGCTACATAGCAGAGTAATCTACCGTTGGATTGAGGATCACTCACGTAATTATAACTAATAATTAACATTTTCGAGGTTAGCCTGGGCAAACTCTACGTAATTATTATTGTATTTATTATATCATATTTCACCAGAATTAATTAGTCTTGACTTTGAACTCCTTGATCTCATAGTTAAACCTGCGAACTCATTTGAAGTATTGAATATTATCATATATATACGTACCTTTTTTATAATCATATATTTACCTTTGCCCCCATTTGGATATTCCACCAATAGCTCGATCTCAACCGGTTACTACTTTGTAAATATATTGGTGATAGTTTATGGTAATCTTGATGATTCCATCAGATAGTAATTGCGTACATTTTCATTCTTACACAGAAAAATATAATCAGATTATTATATATGAAACATATTCGAAAGTCCACTATCCTCCAGATTAATGGAGAATTTTCTAACATAAAGATCATATATGTAAAATATTTGAAAGAAAATAGTGAAAAAGAAATCCCAAGAGAAAATAATAGGAATCAGAAAAAGATTTCTTTAGTAAAGTCCTTGAAATTTTTATTAAAATTAGAGGGGTTAATTAGAACATAGTTTTTCTAATTTATTTGTTATAAGAGGAGACCATACCATGTTCCCTTATAGAAACCAAACCGAGCCATAGACTTCTCGATCTATTTATTTCTTCCTCCATCCATCTATAATCTCTCCGATGAACAACCTAATCTTCTCCCTTGGCGTTATAGGCAAGAATCAGCTATGCACACTGACCATGTTTCATTCTTAGTTCCGTTCATAAATCCTCAATTTCATCCTTCTTTCTCATTTTTCCAGGAAATGCTCTCTCATTTCTCATCTTTCTTGCTCCCATGTAAGTATCTGTGTGTATATATATCTGCAGCAATATGTATATATGTATTTATCAGCTGATGATTTATTATTATTGGTAGAAACACATTCTTGAGGATAGTTAAGAATCAATCGACGGAGGAGTTCAACCCAGCTCCCTACGTCGTTACGCTCCTGAATTGCTCGTTATGGGTCTATTATGGGGTCACCAAGCCAGGAGCGTATCTTATCGCCACAGTGAACGCGGCTGGGATCTTGCTAGAGGCTATTTATGTTGTGTTATTCCTCATCTATGCCTCTCCGAATCTAAGGGTGCGTAAAAACTAAATTAATTTGCTAGCTTATATTTAAAAAATTTCTCGACTAATGCAATGAATTATGCAAATTGTTGTTTGATTTGTAGGCTAAAACGGCGGTTCTAGTGGGAGTATTGGATGCTGTATTTTTTGTAGGAGTGGTTTTTGTCACAAAGTTTGGCGTAGAGAAAACCTTGCAAGTGTTGGTGGTAGGAGTTATTTGTTCATGTTTGAATACCTTAATGTATGCCTCTCCTCTCTCTGCCATGGTAAGAGCGCCTTCTTCTTCTTCTTCTTTTTCCTTCAAATCTTTGTTTCTTTTTTCCATTTTATTTTGCATTTATGTCTAATTGGAGAGTATCTCAATCTTTTTTTTTCTTTTTTTTTTCTCATGATTGAGCTTTATCAAATGATTATGCATGCCCTTTATGACGTCATCTTTTTGCTATATAGATATAGTTGATAATACCAAAAGGGTTCAGATGAAAGATTTGAATTTGTTAAATTTTGTGCCATAACATTTATGGATTTCTTTTTTGTAAAAAGATATATTAGGCATTAAAATGATAAATTGTATTATCCAATTTTATGCAATTAGTTATGAATAATTGAAACATCTCTACTCGTTCTTGATTTAAAATAAATGCTACCATATCAAGTTTCAAAGACATTTGATGTTTTGTGCCATACTGAATATTCTATGATATTTGGACCCCAAAAAATCCATTGAAATTATCACTTATCTAATAAACCCGAAAGGACGGTATTTCAGGCACAAAGATTATATAACTTTTCTATGTGTTGGGATTGTACATGTCTTTGATTTTTTGTATAACTTCATAAGAATTAGATAGGATTAGAGATCTATCCTGATTAGGAGATTGTGTTTCATCATGATTAGAAGTTTGAATCCTATTCTAATTAGGAAGTTAGGCTAGAGATAGAGTTTTGGTTTCCCTACATATATTCTTTTATTGTTAGAGGAAAAACCAAGCAGATGAGAGAGAACCAATATTCTTGTAATCTAGGGTTAGTAGAGGGCGTAGCCTGATTTAAGAATATTGTGCGAGAAGCGAGGGTTTCGTAGTCTTTATTTGTGCAAAAGATTACATCATTGGGAGAGGGTTTCGCAGTCTTTGTCCGTTCAAAAGATTGCAAGGAGAGGACTTTGGAGAGAATATGAGAGTTGATTATGTATGTGATGTTGAGAGATTGAGAGACGAGAGTTGAGTGGTTCCTCTTGTAGTTCTCCCTGATACATAGTGGATTTCTCGTATTGTTGCCCGTGGACATAGGTCGAAGGTTGTCGATCGAACCACGTAAATCTGGATGTTCTTTCTTCTTGGTCGTGGTTGTTTTATATCTTATTGATTGTGGGTTGACTTCCGAGTTGCACAAATCATAGTAGGCGGGAAGACTAAAATTCCCCAACACTACGTTCTAATAGAGGTAATCATTGAAGGAAAAAAAAAACACTCATACACGTGCGATCTGTAGGAATTTTTTTTCCCCTATGGCTTTTCAAGTTATCATGTATCTTTTCTACCATTCAAATTAGAAAAGAAGATTAACTGTCATACACTCTTATATACGAGCAATTTCCTTATATAACTATAGTAACTAAAGAGAAAATAATTCAAACATATATCCCGTGTTTTATTATAGAGATGCTTGCTATCGCAGATGAATTTATAGTTTGTTGGGCAATTAACATTGAAATGCACTAGAAATATAAGAAAACAAGAAATATTTATTTGAACTCAGAGAAGAAGGAAGAACAGATTTTGAGGGGGGTTCCGCTAATGGGTAAGAGGTTTTTCACTTTCTTCGTTATGATTTCTCAAGGAGAATTACTCCTCCATTTATAGGGGCTGAACCCACTAACTCCACCCCCCAAGATCCGCCCCAATGAGAGATTTTCTCTCAACAACCCTTCCACAATCCATAATTCTCTCTACTGAGAATCGTTGATTTGGTCACCATGACCGAGTCAAGCTAACATCTCCCACTTGACCAAATTAACCAAGTGACATGCCTCCCACTATCCGTGAGATCGGATATTTCTGCTTACCATTACTCCAACTATCCGTAGAGAGTAACTCTTATTTCATTATTCATGAAATTTTATTTGGACTTATTTATTCCTAAGTCCTATCAAACTTACATGTTTGATAAAAGATTCTGCTGGTATTCCTTTTGTCAAAGGATCAGCAATCATATCTAATTTTATCCCGAATCCTAAGCAGGGATAAGTCTGCGCCTAACACGCGCTGCCGGTTTAGTCTTTTTCTGTACTAAAAGACACCAGGATTCTATTCTGGGGTATTCTATCCTGAAACCTAAGCAAGGATAAGTCTGCGCCTAACCCGCACTGCCGGTTACTTCTTAACCGTTGAAAAGAACATCCATCCACAGATTCAACATTGTGGCAGGTTGTTATTAATAACACCAAAATCCATGCCTTACACGCATGGGGAATGTCATCCTGAATCCTAAGAAAGGATATGTCGACACCTAACACGTGTCGCCGGTTTAGTCTTTTACCGATTGAAAAAGACACCAGAGTTCGATTCTGGGGTATCCTATCCTAAAACCTAAACAGGGATAAGTCTGCGCCTAACCCGCGCTGCCGGTTAGTTCTTAACCATTGAAAAGCCCGTAAAAAAGACGAAGCCTATGTATTCAACATCATAGCACAAAGTCTCAGAGAATTCACTCTCTTAGCACAACGTTACATGCGAAACGGATTTAGACAATTCGCATGCTAGCCCGACTCAAACGGTAGTCGGTAAAGGCTAATCAAAACCGTTGAAGGCTTGGAGTTAGCCAAAAATCCTAAAGTGAACGCCTAACACGCGTCGCCGGGTAGTCTATTCCCGTGAGAAAGACGAAGTCTACGTATTCAATATCGTAGCACTAAAAGGGTTAGCTCTTTTAGCATAACGTCACATGCGGAACGGGCTTAAATAATCCGCATGCTAGCCCGACTCAAACGGTAGTCGGTAAAGGCTTCTCAAACCCGTTGATGGCTGAGGGTTTGCCAAAAATCCTATAAATACGGAGTCACTGACGCATCAGCTTCATTAGTTGGTCTCGTGACCTGAGCATCCAACGACGTTCAAAACCCTAGGGTCAACGCCGGTCAACGTGTAACCCTAGGTCAACGCCAGTCAACGCGTTGCAATCAAACAGTCAACGTACGACGTCCAAAACCCTAAGGTCAACGCCGGACAACGCGTAACCCTAGGTCAACGCCAGTCAACGCGTTGCAATCAAACAGTCAACGTACGACGTCCAAAACCCTAAGGTCAACGCCGGACAACGCGTAACCCTAGGTCAACGCCTATCAATGCGTTGCAATGAAAGAACTAATACTCCGAAAAGTATACGAGTATAAACTGCTTCTTAAACACTCCAATAAGGTATATGAGTATAAACTATATACTCCGAAAAGTATACGAATATAAACTGCTTCTTAATACTCCGAAAAGTATACGAATATAAACTGCTTCTTAATACTCCGAAAAGTATACGAGTATAAACTGCTTCTTAATACTCCGAAAAGTATACGAGTATAAACTGCTTCTTAAATACTCCGAAAAGTATACGAGTATAAACTGCTTCTTAATACTCCGAAAAGTATACGAGTATAAACTGCTTCTTAATACTCCGAAAAGTATACGAGTATAAACTGCTTCTTATCATTATACCGACTGAAGGTGGGAGACAATCATATCCAAAGTATTCCAGACTCTTCTATAAAAGAACGAGACTGAAATACTTTGGAGGGGGTATCTGTAGGCATATAAAATTGCTTATAGGTCCCTTAGCTCAGCTCGGCACAAACCGACGAACCAACGAGGCGACGAGATCGACGAATCGCACAGAAGCGACAGAATGCATCCATACGCGTTCGGAATCAAGCCAAGTGTCAAAGAATCAACGAGTCATCCAACCAAGGGCATACTCGGACGAATCACGATCGAATCAAGATCAATTTCGGACTCGAACTCAGAAGCGGATTTACTGCCAAATCAGGAATCCGACTTACTGCCAAATCAGATCAACCAATCAGAGTCTCAATCAACCGAATCACGGACAAAACCGGAAAACGGACACAACTCGAAAAAATCGGAAAACACCGCCCGCGGGGGCTCGGCCAAAGCCGAGCCACCCCAAGGTGGCTCGGCCTCAGCCGAGCCACCTTGAGGTGGCTCGGTGGCCGAGCCACCTCAAGGTGGCTCGGCCAAGGCCGAGCCACCC